CGGGGCTCGATCCCAGGACCTGGGATCATGACCCGAGCCAAAGGCAGACGCTTAACGACTGAGCCACCCAGGCGCCCCATGTCTATGGCTTTTTTATGCACATAATTTTCTTCTTACATAGGCACACCTACTTGCATTTTCCTTTCTGCTGCTTTTGTGCTTCGAAACTTCTTCACCACTCCCAAACGAGACACCTATTAACTTTTTTTTTTTTTTTTTAGTTTTTATAGTTGCATTTTTTTACACTTACTGCTGTTATCCATCGGGAATTTATTTTGGTGTGTGGCAGATGCTGCTTACGAAAACGACCTGATTTTCCTCATTGGGGCACTTGAGTGCCTATTAAATGTAGGCTTAGTGCGCAAGAAAGAACAAGATGGGGAGGTGCAACATGCAGGAGTCATGAGAACTTTGGTTTCTGTTTTGGCGGCCTCTAGTGTTCATTGGGTGACATTACACATGCAGCTTCTGGTGCTTCTTGTGCAGACAAGACCAGCAGATTCTGGCTTCACCAGAAAGCAACTCAACAAAAACTTGATTTGATGTGAGAAGCTTATTATATTTATATGGCATTGATTTTAAATCATTTGTTCGATTAGCCACCTCTTGGCAAAGGGGGCACATTAGCAGCCTCTGCCATTGTGCCAGACACTACACTAGGTACTTTATATGAGTTTTCTGGTTGATGCTCGAGATAACTATATACAATAAGCATCATGACCCTTTTATTTTGTACATGAGAAAACCGAGGCTAATGGAGATCAATTACTTTAACTAGAAGATGCAGAGCTTGGATTTAAACCCAGATCTGTATAGGCTTCTGGAGCCCATCGCCCTTCCTCTACGTCAGGTTTTCCGGAAGGAACCACAGAAAATTGCTACAGGTGTGATCTTTGGAAATATAGCTGACAAAAGAAAGTCAGCCCCGTTTAAACCCCCTTAGAGTTTCATGGATCCTGAAAAGTCAAAATGCAACCATTTGATGCTTTCTTTTGGCTCCCACTGCAAGTGAAGACAAACCAGAGAAAGTCTTTGTTTCAGTCGCTACTGCTGCATAACAGACAACCCAAATATAGTGATATAAATCATTTTATATGTGATTAAAGCATTTTATTATGCTCATGGATTCTGTGGGCCAGGAGTTCTGAAAAGGCACAGTAGGATGGCTTGTCTCTGCTCTGTGATGTCTAGAGCACCATCTGGAAGACTCAAAGCCTGCTTGGGCTTCCTCAGGGCAGCCCAGGAGAATAGGTGAAAGCTGCATTGCCTTTTGTGATCTATCCTCAGAAGCTACGTAGTGTCACTTTCTCTGCAGTCACAGACGCGCCCAGGTTCGAGGAGAGGGTCTATGTCAATGGAAGGACTAACACAGTCATGTCGTAAAAAGAGCATGGGAATAAGATATCATTGCACAGTCCTCTTTTCATACAGTCTTTCTCTTTTTCTGGGTAATCTTTTCCCAGCCTGTGGGATGCTCATGGCCTACAGTCATTGTCCTCTGCCTCTTTCCTCCCATTTCTCCCCAACAACAAAACCAAGAGGTGTCTGGCATCAGCCATTTCCTCAGGTTTGTTAATAACCCTTTAACTGAACCATACCTTTCATGCTCAGTGTATTTCTTGCCTTGCCTCTCTCTCTCTCTCTCTCTCTCTCTCTCATTACCCATTAGCAAGAACCTAGGGGAATTATTTGAAGAAAGGAGGATAAGCCCTTTCTGCTGGCCATGAAGGCAAATTTAATGCAATACCTCTGGCTTCACTGAAGTCAGGGAAGTGTGAATACCAGAAAAGATGGTCCATGTTGAATGCACACTTGTCTCCTATTTCCAGGAAAATCTTCCCAGGCCTATATTTTATATTTGGAGCATACATGCCACCCCAAACTCCATTACCTGCCATCTTGGAACTCTTCCTCTATGTATAATCAGGGTTCTCCAGAGAAACAGAAATAATAGGATATATGTAGATAAATATAGATATAGACTGTAAGAAGAGATTTATTATAGAAATTGACTCACATGATTATGGAGGCTGGGAAGTCCCACCATCCGCCATCTGCAGGCCAGAGAAGCAAGAAAGCTGATAGTATGATCCAGTCTGAGTCAAAAGGTCTGAGAACCATGAGCACCTGTCTCCAAGGGCAGGAGAGGATGGATATCCCAGGTCAAACAAAAAGAGCAAATTCACCCTTCCTCTGCCTTTCTGTTCTCATCAGACCCTCAACTGATTGAATCATGCCTACTCACATTGGTGAGGGTAATCTTTACTCAGTCTACTGATTCAGATGTTAATCTCTTCCAGAAACAACCTCACAGACACACCCAAAAAAATTTTTACCAGCTATCTGGGCATCCTGTAGCCCAGTCAAGTTGACACATGCAATTAACCATCAATACTTCACAACTCCCACTTTTCTTTCTACTTTTATTGTAAAATTTCTGACAAAGGATGCCACTGGAAGATATTCTTAATTAAAATCAAGGATTTGCATTTGAAAAAGGAAACTCCATTCTGAGCAGGAAAGTTTCCTGAGGCAATGAATCCATAAGATCAGATAACTTAGAGAAACTTATATACCCACAGGTGGTCCCTCTTGGTAACCATACACTTATCTTATTGATGCTTTTTTGGTTGAGAGCATTTCCATATTTGTGTTTGGATATGGTGCTTCCCAGTCCATCATAGAGAGGGAAATACTCATTATGTATAAATCTCATGCAGTGCTTCCAGGAGAACACCCACGGAGAAGAGTGTACATTCAACACGGACCATCTTTTCTGGTCTTCACACTTCCCTGACTTCAGTGAACCATGAGGTACTAAATTAAACACCTCAGATATTGCAGGTAAAGCTAAAGCAGTTAGATCTTTTATAAAAGGCCTTTGATTCACTTATCCCACTTTCCCCTTATTGTAGGAGGTATGAAAATCACAAATACCTTTACACAACTACCTTATTGCAAGGAGCTAGACAATGTCATCCCATCATTTTGTGGCTGTGGGTGGCCAGGATCAAACACAAGGATGAATATCCTCCTGGTTCCTCAGCCTATCCTTAGCACCAGACGTTTCCATCAAGTAAGCAACACCAAGAGTAAGACTCCAAGGTCTAATACCCAGGATTACCACAGCCATCATTGGCTGAAATGAAGAGATTAGCTCACTTTTCCACCCAGTTCTTTTGTGTTTTGCTTTATATTTTGATAGCAACAAAATCCTTTAAAAAAACAAACAAACAAACAAACAAAAAAAAACCCAAGCATTAAAAACAACAGAGAAACTATATTATAAAACCCATGCTTCTCTACTCAGGATGTGTAGCAGTTAAAATTTTTTTCATATTTGCTGTGTGTTTAAAAATCAAGTAAATATTGGGGCACCCTGGGTGGCTCTGTCAGTTAAGCGTCTGCCTTCGGCTCAGGTCATGATCCCAGGGTCCTGGGATCGAACCCCACATCGGGCTCCCTGCTAAGCGAGGAGTCTGCTTTTCCCTCTGCCCCTCCCCTGACTCATGCGCACTCTCTATCTCTCACTCACTCTCTCTCAAATAAATAAAATCTTTTTTAAAAAATCAAGTAAATATAACATGAAAAATTACATAGACAACTTTCACTTTTATAGCCATGCACGTTCCAATCTCTTCTTCCCAGACACAAACACAATCATGAATTTCATAAGTACATCCTGTTAACGTTTTGTGCTTTTATAAATGCCTATACAAGTCCAAGATATTTTTAAATATAGGAGTAAACATTAACTAGTATTTTTTAATCCTCTTATTTAATTGGATACGTGATTGGTATGAATCTGAAAGAACTGGTTGGTTCGGGCACCTGGGTGGCTCAGTTGGTTAAGCGACTGCCTTCGGCTCAGGTCATGATCCTGGAGTCCCTGGATCGAGTCCG